ATGTAGAACTCTTTTCCAAAATCAATGACCTGCTAAAATAATAACTACGAGAAAAAAATAATGTGTAAGGGTTTGTTATTTCATTGGTATACATTTTTTTTCAATTAATTCAACCAAAGTAAAATTAAAAGCTCTGGACGACCATGAGTTACGTACGGTATTAATATCGTTACGGTATGAATATCGTTGACCCGCGTTGCATATATCGGCACTGCATGATTTTAAGTCATCTTTTTCCACAAATGAAAATATTACGCTCGGGTAGCAACAGCAAACATTTTAAGGAATAATTTAAGACAAGAGACTATTTGATTTTTGTACTGTTATATGTAATAACAAAGAAGGAAAAAGATTAAACGCTTCCCGATCGTTTTACATGCGAAACCATCCGTGGCTGACGTAATGTTAAAATGACGTAGTGATGCTGCTCCGGGTCGATAGACATATGCATGTTTATTATTTCACCGAAACTTTTCTGATTATCATAGGAAATAGAAAATTTGCATAAGTGTTTTATTCGTTCTTTATAAAATGTAGATGAATTTTCCTGAAATTACATCCGTCCTTTATGGAGTAAATGTAATTGTCTCAATAATTTCCGAACAACCCTCGTACATACTTTATTCTCTTGCGGAGTTTTAAAAAAAGTTTTAAATAATTAGTGACATTATTGTCTTGCTCATCAGATTTTTCAAAATAATTGCTGGTAAAGAACAATGATGTCATAATTCATGTGGATTAAATGCTATTAATACCACAATATGAGCATATGTACCAAGAATATTCAAAAAAGTAAGTTTAATCCTTCTTTAGAATAACAGAGAAAATCTCATATATTTTTTTACATGTAGCTCTTTTGCATAGAAAGCCAATACCTAGCTTGCATCAACTTTATGGGTCACTTGCATGGGATAGTGGTTACAGCATTTCCTCTAGAGTTGTGGAGTAGGGAGTTCTTATAAGGTCCTGGGTTGGAATTCCAAAATGGAACTTGGAGACAGATCCTTTTGATGGGATCATATTAACTGATGTCCACTGCTCAAAGGCCCTAAACGAGGAGTACAGGTCTAAATTTGCAGCTTTCTGTGGACAAGTTATGGCATCTTGACACAAGTGAAAATTCTTGAAGAGATATACATGTACAAACAAACAAACAGTAACTCATTAAAGAGAGAGAGAAACATGAATCAGCTTAATTTTTTTTTCCTTTATATTATCTTATAGCTAGGACTGCCATTTAGAGATGCGGATGAGTTTCACTCCAAAGAAAACAAAGAGAAAATGTCTAATGGAATCCCTCTGACTGACCAGGTGAGCTATGAAGTTGAAACACCTAGATAAGGCCAACTTTATAATATTGTTTGTTTGCCCTCTCCTGACTCAGGATGAAAAGAATTGGATGTTAGGAAGACTGGAATTTTTTCCTCCAAAAAAATATCAACATCAATGTTGAATTTACAAGATCTATAATTTTCCCAGAATGCATTAAAAAAATTGTTCCTTGGAGGTTAAAATAAGTTTTGAGTCATGTCATTTTTTGCCAGTTGGTTGGGAGAGGGCATGCAATGAAACAGATTTTTTTAAAAGATGACCTACTTTTACAATATTTATTTCTTGCATGTATAGCTTGTTCTTGCATGTTCTTTTTTTTCAAGTTTTAAGTGTAGATAAATCCTTTTATTTCTGATATAGGATAGACTTCCATGGTTATTAGCAATAAACAAGTACATGAAAGGGTAAGCAAGTTAAGAACTAATTATATGTAATAACAACTTGTAGTCAATCAAACTTTAACAATAACCCCATTTCATATTTTAACAATTTATGCAGTCTCAGAACTTATAATTACCTATGTACATGCATTTTTCAGATTGTCAAAAGAGGGGAAATCTGGTGTTGTTACTTGCTCAGCACTAAAGAAAGTATACAGAGATGTCTTGGTAAATGGTTGTTCATCTGAGGATCCGATTCCTGACATTTTGTTTGTCCTTTTACATGGTGACAGGGCGGTGATCCAGGGCAGATTAAACAGTCGCTTTGGTCATTTCTTGCCGCCCTCTCTACTAGACTCTCAGTTAGCTACTCTAGAAATTCCAACCATAGATGAAAAATGTATCCAAGTGGACATCAAAGTGCCTCCAGCTGAAATTGTGGATCAAATTCGAGAAAACAAATCTCTTGCTTTGATTATCATATTACCATTCATTATGTGGATTCTATAAAAGTTTCTGTTAATATAGGCAATTATTGTATTGAGAAATAAATTTCACTCATATGTCACAGAGAACTAGTTTAGAAATAAGTAACATGCAGTCTTTTCACTTTTTAACTCAACTCAACGAAATTGTGGGGAGGTAATATGATACCCTTGGCGTCAGTGTTTGCTTTGGCTTCCCAGGTTAAAGTTTTTGTGCGATTTCTTTTTAAGTACGTTTTGCCCTACATTAGTCAGAGATGCATGTAGGATGCTTCTACTGAGTTTCAGTTGTACCAGTCAAGGTTTCAGATGCTGCAATATCAGCAATGGAATGACCAGATTAATGTTTGTGAAGCAGCTAGGTTCAAGTTTTTGTTGCAGGTTAATGTTTTTTATGCAAGTCTCATTTCCAAGTAACTATGTACTGGTATAAACTCTATGCTGATGAAACTTGCATGGATGATACATCTAAGGATGCACACTACCAGGCTTGCTTAGGATGCTAGAATCGGACCTGCATTTTCCAAATGAGTGAACAGGTTAAAGTTTTTGACACTGGTCTTATTTCCAAGTAACTATAAATCCTATGTTGACCAAACTTACATGAATGATACATCCAAGGATGCATGTATACTAATGTACTTGCTTCGGATACTGGATCTGACCTACATTTTCTGGATGAGTAAACAGGTTAATGTCTTTGGATCAGGTTCATTCTAAAGTAACTAAAATCTCTATGTCAACAAAACTTGCCTGAATGATGCATCTTAAAGGATGCACAAAAATGGACTTGCTTTGGATACTGGATCTGTCATACATTTCTCAGATAATCTTCTGGCTTTATTGCTGCAATATTGCAGCAACATTCTGGCAATACATTGCCGCAATATTGCGGCTATATCGTTTTTCGTATGTAAATTAGTTTTGCGGCAATATTGCCAGAAAGGGGTTGCGGCAATATTGCTGCAAATCATGACCAAAATGTTGATCTTCTGGCAACATCTTCCGGCATTATTGCCGCAATATTGCGGCTATATCGTTTTTCGTATGTTAAATAGTTTTGCGGCAATATTGCCAGAAAGGGGTTGCGGCAATATTGCTGCAAATCATGACCAAAATATTGATCTTTTGGCAACATCTTCCGGCATTTTTGCCGCAATATTGCGGAAATGTTATTTTTCGTATGTAAGTTACATATAAATTGGTATTTAATAGAAATAATGATCTATCAATCTAACAATTAACAAACTGTGCTGAGGAATATAACAAACAATAGCAAGCCACAGGGGCAATAAGAAATAGCTACTTCTGCTATTTGAACAGATAGAAAATTATGTTGATCATCATAATGAAAATCAAGATATGTTTGTGAAACACTATGCACCTGGTGGCAATAAAGTTTGATGAAAAAGCTATTTATAGCATATGGGTCACAGTCAAGGTCACAAGGTCATTGATCTTGGTGTCATTTGAAAGAACTTAATTAGTGGAGTATGCATACTAAATATGAAGTCTCTATCTCTTATAGTTCAAAATTTATGGCAGAGGATCAAAATGGCTTATTTTAGCATATGGGTCACAGTAAAGGTCAAATTGTCATTGACCTTGGTGTTACTTGAAAGAGTTTAATTAGTGAAGGGTGCATACTAACTATGAATTCTCCATCTTTTATGACTCAAAAGTTATGTCGAAGTTTCAAAAAATCTATTTTAAGTACATTGTATATGGTCACAGTCAAGGTCCCAAGGTCATTGACCTTGGTGTTATTTGAAAGAGCTTAATTAATGAAGGGTGCATACTTAATACAAGTTCTCTATCTTTTATGGCTCAAGATTTATGTCCAAGGTTCAAAAAATCTATTTTAAGGATATGGGTCACAGCCAAGGTCTCAAGGTCATTGACTTTCAGGTGTCTTTTGAAAAAGCTTAATTAGTGAATTATGCATACTAAATATAAAGTCTCTATCTTTCATTAATTTTAAGTTATGATGAATATTCGAAAAAGCTATTTTTAGCATATAGGTCACAGTCAAGGTCACAAGGTCATTGACCTTGATGTCATTTGAAAGAACTTAATTAGTGGAGTTGACATACCAAATATGAAATTATCTCTCATTGGTTCAAAAGTAATGGTGAAGGTTAAAGTTTACAAATAAACAGACAGGACAAAAACAATATGTACCCCCGATCTATCGAGACGGGCGCATAAAAAATGTTAATAGAAACAATATTAATATGCCACTGTGAAAATGTCCAGCAACTCTGCATTAACTTTCAAATAACATGCTTTAATTCATCTTTTCCTGCTACTCTAGGATATATAGACATACAAGTCTAGTATGCATGCATCACAAGCACTAATTGAAACACATATAATTTTTCCAGTTTTATCTCCATTGAATCATTCATCTCAAAAAGAATATTGGTTTTGACTCACCAAGTCTGATGATATGGAAACAGAGTACACATTCCTATAATTCTGCTTAAATTCTTTTTTCTTTTTTTGGACCATTCCACATTAAGTAACAACTATAATTAACTTGATACAAGTCAGTAATGAAGCAAAACATGCTTGCCTTTGAATTCCCTCCACTTTATTTAAAAAGAGGAAGTAAATGACTGAGCATGCTCAATAAATGGCTCATGGGTAATCCTAGATGTTGCCAGAAAGTTTTTTTCTGGCAGTATTGCCAGAATGTCACCAGAAGTTGTTGCAGCTAGCTGTGATATTTCACTAACCCAAAAAGCTTGTTTCTGGTGACAAAAATGTGTTGCCGCAATGTTGCTGCAATATAGCAGCAATATTGCTGCAATAATTTTACTTTGGTAAGGGTGATGCATCAAGGCATTCATCTAAAATCACTCTCAAACTTGCTTCAGATGCTGGATTTAGATTACATCTTGGGATGTTCACTACTAGATTATTAGCTTAATGTGGGACTTTGCCTTAGATCCTTCGGTGTATCGTCCATGCAAGTTTGATCAGCATAGGGCTTATACCGGTACATAGTTACTTGGAAATAAGACTTGCACAAAAACATTTACCTGGAACAAAACCTTTAACCTAGCTGCTTCACAAACATTAATCTGGACATCCCATTGCCTTACCTAAAGACAACATTCATTGTCTCTGTAAACTTTGATTATTTATGTTTTTTTTTTTTTACATGTAATTCAAATAAATTTATTGATTATATACATGTGTGTGTTTTAACTTTTAAGTTATCTAATTCATGGCATATCTATTATTAAATTACTAGTATATGATGCAAGGTCTTTCTATACCTACCAATATTTATTAGAGGTACATTACTGCAGGCACAGGCCTTTAGATCGCTTAGAAAAAAAATTGAGGTGTTGAAAAAAAAAATAAAGGTATGGAACTCTTTTCATGGGGTACCTACTTTCGCCAATAAAATTCTTTTAAATAAAATGCTTTACAATTTTACTTTCTATCCATATCTATTCAAATATAAACAATGTTCATTACTACCAAAGTTCGTTCCGTAATTCCTTATACTTTTCGAGATATTCTGAAATCAATTCCCAAATTTACATTAATTTTTTTACTCGACATCAGCTTGGGCCTTCACTAATTGTAAAGCGGGAACGACGGGAAAATTTTCCCCGGAATTTATTCTAAACTCAATGAATATTTGCTCATTTGCATTCAAGCTTTACAAGGTTTTTCTTTAATTTGATTATATGGTGTAACTGAGTTACAAACAACATTTTAGCGGTCTAATTGTTTTGAAAATCGAAAGGTATATAATGCATTTCGGAAAAATTCGTTCTACCATGGCTTCATTTACATTCATAAGTAGTTGTTGATGTTGACGTTTTCGAATTAATTTTTCGCGAAAGGAATATTATTACAGACTTAACGTTACAATCTGGAGTAAGAAATCAACTTTAAATTGTTGAAAGATTTTGCAAATATTTTGCAACTCTTCGCCGCACTTCAAACACCGTCTGTTTACATGTGAATGACCAGGGGCCCAAGCTAATGTCGAGTAAAAGAAAGTAGGTCATTTTTGAAATTGATTTCGAATTTCAAGAAAAATGGAATTTGGAATGAGCTTTGGTAGAATTGAAGA